GTATTCTGTTAGCCCCACTTGGAGTCCTTTTACCTCACAAATGCTAATGATAGTCAGACACCAGCCTTGAGAAAGTCTTTGCTCCCCCCTCAGCTTAAATGATTTGGTTTGTTTGGATATAGGATAAGGCAGAATGGAATAAAAACTTCCACTTACTAAATATGCAAAGCACTTGGCTGTTCTGGTGGGGCTTCAAATGAGTGCTCTGAATAGCTGCTAAGCAAATCAGTTTAGAAACATCAGGAGAATTTATTTACTTGATTGCCATCTAGTGGACAACTGTGCTGTCTACACATTGCATTATTCCCCACGGGGCAACAATCACAATCTAAGAACTCAGCCCGGTGAGCAACTGTTACCACAATTTGCCTGCACCCTAAGTGGCAAATTGGGAACGCTCTCCGCTGGTATGCAAGACCTTCAGAAGACTCAAGAAAACATAGTTTTTCTGTGTGAGACTGCAAGCCAAGGGATATTCCATACAGGGAGACTGCAATCCTTCTTTGTGCCATGGAGCAGCATTGTATTGGGATCATGCTAGAAAGTGGAGAGGGGGGGATTGGTCATGTTGGAGACGTGGTAGTGAAATGGCCAGTGCCCAGAGACAGAGCCACAAATCCACAAAGGGAAACAACAGGTTTGTTTCTTCCTTGAATATTTGCAGTAGCAGATGTGTTCTGTCTATACAGATGCCCTGGGCTTTGCAGATTGGACCACCTATTGGTTCAAAGAAGTAGGACAGGAATGTTCCTGAGAAACTAACATCAGGTTGCACTAGCAATAGTTACTCTCATTGTTGGAGTATTATTTTATTGTCCTGCCTTTACTAACCACCTCTGACTAATGGAAGGTTTTGTTTTTAAGTGAAGCAATTCATCTTCTTTGGGGCTTGCAAAAGACAAGACTGGGGGGGGGGCTGAATAATCTTTTCCGAGATCCATCTGATTCGTACTCCTCTCCTAACACTGGGTCAATTTGTTTCATTAACCTCTTGCTCTTTATGTTGAAGAACCTTGTATTATCTCTAACCTCCATTTAGAGGGCAGCAAATACAGCCAGTGATTGGCTGCATTGAGGGGACCCACAGGGATCTTTCATAGTGGCAAAGAAGGTACTAATGGTACCACTACATTACGAATGTAATTTGGTTTTCTCCAACTCCTCTTGAACAGCCAAATAAAAAAAGTTCAGTTTATAAGAAGTATGTCATACCTTATAAATTGACAAACCACTCTCAGCTCAGTGTACATCAGAGTTCATGAGGAAGTGCCAACTTTGCTAAAGGCTAGAGCGGGATATACTTAGTGATGCTGGATAATACCTTTCGCTATTGAGTCAATGGGACTACTCATGGAGTACATACTGAGTAAGGGTCCACAGTTCAAGCTGGTTGTAAGGACGAGGTGCACAAATACGGTTCATTTACTCTGCATAGTTTAAAATACATTGGTATAGACGGAAGGTGCATCTTCGTAAAGTGGAAGGGTTGTATTTTCTTAGAAATATAAAGATCAAGATTAGATGTCGTAATGCTAAAAGAATAACACCGCATTCAAGATTTATTGCTGAAAATGTGGCATTAGTTAATATAAAACATGCCAGCCGTGTTTGTAAGGTATCATTATCTACTCCCAGCCACCGACCTGCAAACACAGACACACAGGACTGTTTTCATGGGTGTAAAACTATCAAATCACTTCAATGGAGAGCGCAGGGCCGAAACGCTCTAGGGCCGCCCACTGCTTCTACAATGGTCACTGAATTCTAAGGCACTCCAAACTGCATTGTGCTCATGGGCTTCAAGCACTCCAGAATGCTTGGTGAACGTGACACAGAGCATTGAGCCTGACTTGCAGAATTGAGATCTAGCTCTACGTTTCAAACACCCAAATTCAAAGGTATTCAGATCTAACATTCTGCTTGACCCCTTTCTTAGTGGAAAAGGCCACCTATGAAATTCAGATCAGATCCCAGTTCACAATCTGAAATCAAATTTCCCACCCAAACTTGGAGGTGACCTGATCCAGGAATATGGATGTCTAATCACAGTAGAGTGGTAGAGGAAAGGGTTCAGCCAAATGAAGTAGATACAGACCCATCCCTCATGTATCTACCACCAACTCAATCCTAGTTCTGGCAGCCGTCAGGAAATTGGAACTACACATCTCCAAATGCCATGCAGGGTGCTGTCTTGAGGCATTTTGGAATGTGCACTTCCAGATTCTCACAAACTGCAGGAAGTAACCAGCTTCAAAGAGAAAAGGAGTACTTGTGGCACCTTAGAGACTAACCAATTTATTTGAGCATAAGCTTTCGTGAGCTACAGCTCACTTCATCGGATGCATACTGTGGAAAACACAGAAGATGTTTTTATACACACAAACCATGAAAAAATGGGTGTTTATCACTACAAAAGGTTTTTTCTCTCCCCACCCTACTCTCCTGCTGGTAATAGCTTATCTAAAGTGATCACTCTCCTTACAATGTGTATGATAATCAAGGTGGGCCATTTCCAGCACAAATCCAGGTTTTCTCCCCCCCCCCCACCCCCCCAACTCACTCTCCTGTTGGTAATAGCTTATGTAAAGTGATCACTCTCCTTACAATGTGTATGATAATCAAGGTGGGCCATTTCCAGCACAAATCCAGGTTTTCTCCCCCCCCCCACCCCCCAACTCACTCTCCTGTTGGTAATAGCTTATGTAAAGTGATCACTCTCCTTACAATGTGTATGATAATCAAGGTGGGCCATTTCCAGCACAAATCCAGGGTTTAACAAGAACATCTGAGGAACGGGGGGCAGGGGGGCGGGGGGGGAGAATAATAAACAAGGGGAAATAGGTTACTTTTTATAATGAATCAACCATTCCCAGTCTCTATTCAAGCCTATGTTAATTGTATCCAATTTGCAAATTAATTCCAATTCAGCAGTCTCTCCTTGGAGTCTGTTTTCAAAGTTTTTTTGTTGAAGGATAGTCACTTTGAGATCAGAAATCGAGTGACCAGAGAGATTGAAGTGTTCTCCGACTGGTTTATGAATGTTATAATTCTTGACATCTGATTTGTGTCCATTTATTCTTTTACATAGAGACTGTCCAGTTTGCCCAGTGTACATGGCAGAGGGGCATTGCTGGCACATGATGGCATATATCACATTGGTAGCTCATGAAAGCTTATGCTCAAATAAATTGGTTAGTCTCTAAGGTGCCACAAGTACTCCTTTTCTTTTTGCGAATACAGACTAACACGGCTGTTACTCTGAAAGCTTCAAAGAGGTTTCATCCAAACCCAAATATTGGTCAGATTTCAGTCAATTATCAATTTGGAGCCAAATTTTGGTACTGCCCTAAGCTTTGTACATTCTTTTCTTTTTCTTTTGTACTTGGGCATCTGCCATTCTACTTTTTAAAAAGTATCTAATTGGCATCATATTGTCCATAACCAATGCCTGAGGGAGCAGCAAAGTTTCTAACACGACTTCAGACTTCTTTCAAAGGAAAGCCTCATCAATGCCAAACAGTGTCTTTTTGGCTAAGAAGCAGAGTCCCTTCAGGGCATTTGTACCCGTTCGCATATTTTCTCTCTCTCTCTCTCTCTCTCTCTCTCTCGTTAATCTTTTTCCACTCCCCATCTTTCTTGTAAAGGACAAGATTCCTCTTCTTGCTGGAACTGACCCAAAGCCGCTTAACTGAAGTAGGCTTAACGAGTCTCTATTCTGCAAAATGAATTTCAAATGAAATAAACATAAAGTTCTGTGGCATTTGCCTGTGTTGATCATAATGAAATATCTTTTCAGCTGTTCTGCTTTGTTACCAGTGAAATGTCAGTTTTTAATGACTGTGCTAAACACAGCAGAGTATGACCACAATACTATTTACTCTTCTAAAATTTATTTCTCGTCATGATCCTGTAGCCTGAATTATTGTATATAACGCTCTTAACTTTTTTTTTGTTACAAGTGTATTGCCATTGTGATTACTTTTGTGTTTTAAAATTATGTAATTGATTCCGCTCTCCTCAGATTTGAAGCCTAAACCTATGACTACGCCACCACTTATGTCGGCATAATTTATGTCACTCAGGGATGTGAATATTCCATCCCCCGAGCGACATAAATGACACCGGCATAAGTGCTAGTGTGCACAGCACTATGTCGGCGGGAGAGCTTCTCCCGCCAACGGAGCTTCTGCCACTCGCAGGGGTGTTTTTTTATGCTGACGGGAGAGCTTCTGTTCATCAGCATAGAGCATCAAGTCAGCTGCAGCACTGTAAGTGTAGACGTGCCCTTAGTGAAAGGGGACAGTGCTGGTGGAGGGAAGCAAAATACATACAAATTATAATCTTTTTGTCTACTTAATCTCCTCTTTTGTCCCTAATTGTAATAATCAGAAAACTACAGGACTAGATCCTCAGGTTTTGTCCGTCAGTGTCCGCCATAGGAGTCAAGGAAGTTAAGGTGATTTATATTAATTAAGGATCTGGCCTGTAGATTTTATTACAACAAACTTGCACTTGTAGGGGAAAATTTTCATGTGTCATTGACTTTCAGTAGGGCTTGTGCTCTTAAATCCCTTAGACTTGTTTGAAAACCTCCCCCTGTGAAGCTCACTATACTACAGCTTCCGGATGCTGTGCATTTCTTCAGTCCAATTAAAGAATTATAGACAGTTAAAATCAGGAGCTGACAAAAGTGTTTCAGTTTTATTTTCAGATAGAGAAGCTGAGAGTTTCTAATGGTTAAAGGAAAAGATTTTCTCCGTTGAGGTGCATAGTTGCAGAAAGCTCTTCTGGTTATATTATCACAAGATTAAATTCAGGCAAATTAAATCAAATATTAGGCATGTAGCCTTTGTACAACAGAAGTGTGCATTTAGGAGACATTTCTCTAACTGTCGATTTCTTATAAAAAAAAATAGTGGCCAGAAAGAACTTAAAACTTCCTTTTAAAGCCCCTTATGTTAATACTTGGTTTTCTTCCTTTCTTTTATTTTTAAATAAAGACATGCAGAGCCTAGAGAAATTACTGAGGGATGCAATAGCATATGGGCAGCCTCGAAGTCGCAGAGCATGGAAAAAAATTCTCATCCTAGTAGAGGGCATTTACAGGTATGTAGGCATTTACAAATGTGTGAGTACTTTGTATTATAAAGGAATTTAATAGACGTAACACTGGGATTGCCTAAGAAATTCAATGTCTTTTTTTTAATTGCTTCACAGCTCATGTAGGATCTTCAGTGGTCTTACTAAAAATTGTTGGTCTGCAATATTAACTGTAATAAGGCAGTAAAGACAGTGTCAGTGTTTTATATATAAATCCTGAAAGTCAACCTGAGCCCTAGTGTAAATAGAAGTAATTCCAGTGTGGTCCCTGTGTGGGATTTTGAATACTGGTTTGCAAAGCACTTTCCTTTGGGATGGGGTATGCTATATAAATGCAAAGGGCTGATCTTCAGCTGGTGTAATTGTCGTAGCTTCACTTAAGTCAATGGAGCTTTGACAATTCACAACAGCTGACTTTCTGCCCCAAGGTGATTCAATGGAACAGCTTTCTAGAGTTCTCTGTTACACATTGATGAATTGAGAAACAGTAGAGGAACTGGTACTGTATACATTTTGCATGCCGGTTTTATACCCAAACAGTTGAAAATAAACATTTAGGACCAAATTCAGCCTTAGTCAAACGAGCATATCTCCAGTAATCAATGTCCAGTGGAGTTGCACTCAGGTTGTGGGTACAAAATTGGGATGTAAAGAGTTATAGAGTAGTGGTACCCATACCCCAGTATAAGAGGGCAATGCGTAATAGAGGCAATTTTGAGGGTCTGTCTAGTATGATGCATAGTAATAATACCTTGCAACTGTATAGGAGTGTATTTTATACAGCATCCTTTCAGCCAAAGTGATTTACAAACCCATATTGAAAGTTGCACACAAGGATCACATTATCCATCACTGAAATACAGCTGCATTGAGTAGCAGCAATTTATGGTTTTTGAATAATTAATGCTAGTCATCCTGAGCAAGATATTTTTTTAATTAGGATTAGAGCTAGGTAAAAAGTTTTTTCACCGAAAAATGCAGATTCAGGTTGACTGCAACATTTCACAAATTTGTGTCAATTTTGGCAAATTTTTTCAGTGGGGAAAAAAAAATAGAAATATTAAAATGGTTCATTATGCCATTGCTGAAACGAAATGTTTTTTGCTTTTTCAGACTAGATTTACAAGGGAGTTGCTTTGAATTTATTTTTTAGAAAAGAAAAACAGTTAAAAATGCCAAACCACCTTGAAACAAATTTTTTTACCTTTCATTTTGCCAGAACTTCTGAAAAAATTCAGTTTCAAGTTGACCCAAAATGACATTTTTGATTTTTCAGATCATAAGCAAAAAAGAAAAAAAAAACAGTTACTTGCACAGCTCTAATAATTATGCCTTTTCTTTTTTCATGTTGTCATAACTTCATAGTCATCAGCATGTTCTTTTTGCATAACTTGTTCCAGCTTCTGCAGAGAACAAGTCAGCCCTCATCTAAACACCAGTCATGCAGGTTTAACAGCAGACTAGCTGATCCAAAGCAGGCTGGATATCTCCCTTTAGTCAGAATAAACAGAACAAAGCTGCAAATAAACATAGCTCTGCACAGCTAAAAGAAAGTTACATTTTAAGGACTTTGATCATGCAGAAATTAAGTGGACCACCAACATTTTAATGACAAATACTCCTGCCAGTCACATGGCCTACAGAAAACCCTTTAGCTGCTGTATTTTGTTCAGTTTTTAAATCCTTTACTTTGGATGTGCACCAACCAGAGAAAGTGAAGGTACCTTTGTGTCATGGATGTATTGGTTAAAGTGAGCAGTTGCACAGACCCATAATGTTAACTTGCTCTGGCATGTGTCACTTACTCAATCTCCAATTTTATGGGACACTGAGCATTAGTTTTACTTAGATCTGCAGCTAGTATTCACAGATAATTTTCTTTTTGAAGAAAGCAGAAGAGCCATGTGTCTTTCTGTTGCTATGCACAATAACACCATGTAAAACTTCAGAGAGAGAGTTTGATTCAAAATTCTTTACAGGGGTGGATTTTCAAAGGGGCCTACAGGAGTTAGACACCCAACAACCACTAACTTTCAGTGGGATTTGGGCACCTATCTCCCTTAGTATCCACTAAAAATCCTAACTTTGTTGTGGCACCTGCTAAGGGTATGTTTTCACTACCTGCCAGATCAGCGGGCAGCAATCAATACAGCGGGGATCGATTTATCGCATCTAGTCTATACGCGATAAATCAACCCCCAAGCGCTCTCCCATCAACTCCTGTACTCCAGCGTACTGAAGACACCACGGTAAGTCGATCTAAATACGTCTACTTCAGCTACGTTATTCACATAGCTGAAGTTGCGTAATTTAGATCGATTCCCCCCATCCGCCAACCAGTGTAGACTAGGGCTAAGTGTTTGTCAAAGAAAGTCTGCATAGGAGGACATGGAGTCAAATACTGTACCTGGGATCTCTTGTTTTGTTTTGTTTTTTTAAGTGCTGGACCGTTTATTTCCACTAATAGCCTTTGTATCTGTGCAAGCAAAAAGTATACAATAAGAGTAATAATAATACTTAGCTTTCTTATAGCATCTCATCAGAAACTAGTCCAAACATTTGCTAATTTTAAAATCTTTATTGTATACTTGTGAGGTAGGCAAATAAGAAATCGAAACTCATGGTTCAGATGGCAAACCAGTTCTGTACTGGGTTGAGAAGGAATCCCTACCGCATTGCCAGCACGATATATCATTGCATAACTGGCTAGATGCAATATTGGATGAGAATTGACCTGTCCATGAAGGACTGGTTCTTCTCGAGTGATGGTCCCTTTGTGTATTGTACGGATGAGTATGCATGCATACCCACATGCCTGAGTCTGGAGAACTTTCATAAGTCCATTGGTCCACACATGTGTAGTTGTCCTCCTCATGCTCTGAAGTAAGGATATAAAGGGCAGGGCAAACATCTCTTGAGTTCCTTCTTACCACCTCCTGGCCTGAACAAAAATTCTGTGTCCACTTCAATCTTCCTATTCTAATATCAGTAAAAACAATTTGTAAATAGTTTTAGTAATTTTTTTTTTTTAGTTTAGACTTAATATTCTAGTGTTGTTTTACAGTTAGTATAGTGAGCTTAGTTTTCCCTGCCCCGTGAAGCTTCTCCATGTAGAGAAGAACTATGCCAAGAGTCCCAGGGTATGAGAATTGTGTCTCCTCCCCGTGTTCCTCCTCCATCCGCAAAAAAACACCAGCACGGCCTTTATCACCTCACCCAGGGCAATAGCTGCTGTTCCTTCCCTCTCCAAACTAGTGAAAGACAAGTGCTCCACCTGCTGAAGCACCTCATGGGAGCAGGTCATGAGGCCTCATTCGGATCCAGGCTAGGGAGAGACACCCTCAGACTGTGAGCAGGACTTCTCCAAGCATGAGCTCTGGAGCAGAGGCTAAAACTCTTAAGCATGAGAAACCCTCTCATGAGAATAGGGGACATGACCATATAGACATAAGGACAGATCCCCATCCAGATCTGCCTCTAAGAAAAAGGATCTCTACCCATCTTGGTCCAAGTCAAGTGAGTCATCACACATGGGTCATAAGGAGTTAGCTCCACATAAACCTGCCATTCAAGAAGGCAAAGGAAAAATGATCTGACCATACTGGTTCTGGCTCCATCCCACAAACCAAAAGACCAGTACCCACCAGGCCTGTCTGAGACCTCCACTCTGGGACCCCATTCAATGGTTCCAATGCACTCCATGTGGCATTCTCTGAATACCCTGTTGGAGGCCCTGGATCCACCAGTCCCCTCCTCAGGGGCTTCCCAAACAGCAGGAAGAACCAAAATCTTTACCTCACAGTAGAATATTCCTAACAGGCCCAATCCTCCTTAGAGACATCCCTATGCCTGAAAAAATCACCTTGAGAAGAAAAGGATCACCCCCTACTGCATGCACAGCTCAGAGCGTCCTCCCACTCGTACAGATGGCACCACCAGTAGAGCAGGAATCTATTAATTTGTCAAACAAATCTGAGGCTCCAGACAAGACTTTTTCTCCCACCATACCCAACGGAAATAAGCCCAGACAGAACCCACAGGAGGTATTGGAACCGTCCACTTCCTTCAGGTTATGGCTATTCAGGGGACCATTAGTACCCTATGTCTTGGGGACCTCCCCCATCAGTCAATCCTTTTTACTAGCCTAATGGGACCCTTTGGGATCTGCATAACAGACGTACTGGATCTGTGCAAGAATCACACCGGCCCGTCTCCCACAACGAGTAACAACCAGCTCCATCCAAATGAAGCTGAGCTGGATCCACTGGTTCTGCAGTTCAAATGGGTGTGCCATTCTCTTCACCTGAGGAGGCAGTTGCTCCATCATCCCCTTCCTTGCCCAGTGACCACAAGCAATACCAGGAGCTGTTATAGAGGGTCGCCACTGAGCTTCAGATACCTTCTGAGGAGGTCCAGGACACGCAGCATGGTCTATTGGATAAACATCCAGCCCTCTGGATGGGTCACCCTAGAAAGGCCAATCAATCAGGTCGTTTTGGAACTTGCCAGACCTATGTGGTATACCCCTACCTCCTGTGCCCCCTCCCTGAAGAGGGTTGAAAAATGATATTTTGTGCCAACTATGGGAGCAGAGTTTTTATTCATTCATCCATTACCCAACTCTTTCATGGCACAAGCAGCTACAGAAAGGTCCAGGACACAGCACACTACGACTACCCCAGCTGACAAGAGCACTAAATGCCTTCACCTTTTGGGGAGGAAAATATTTTCATCAGCTAGTCTCCACTTCAGAGTTGCTAACTACTACGTACTGTTAGCAAAATAGGATTTCTTGAATTATTCAAAATGTCTAAACTTTAAAGACAAACTTCCTTAGGAAGATAGGGCCCAGTTCCAAGCCCTCATTGATCAAGGCGGGCTGATGGCCAGTACATCACTCCAAGCAGCGGTAGAAGCAGCTGACACTGCCTTTCTAGAGCCATTGCCACCACTATAGTCATGAGGCACAAATTGTGGCTGCAATCTCTGAAGTTCTCCAGGGGAAA